AAATTAATTACATATTATTTTGTGATACGTGTTGCAAGATGCAAATTAGATCACATATCGTGACGAAATAAATTTGATTGAATTTTAGAAATATCTCACGTTGATTGTCAATCTAATTATCGTTGAAAGATAAGTGTCTCATTTATGCATAGAGTATTTTGCAATTCCAAAATTGCAATAATAAAATTATATACGTATAATTTCATGTTATTGCAATTTTGGAATTGCAAAATATTTTATGCATAAATGAGACACTTATCTTTCAACGATAATTAGATTGACAATCAATGTGAAATATTTAAAATTATATGTGTATAATTTTATGATTCGTAAGAAGTAAATTAGATCACAAATATATTATGATGAAATAAATTCAAATTTTAGGTAATATCTCACGTTGATTGTCAATTAAGTTGTAATGAAAATATAAGTGTCTCGTTTAAACATGGAGTATCTCCACGATTTCGAAATCGCGATGACATGTGTATCCTTTATCTCGCACAGAATCTCAAAGTTTGTCTTTGAAGGGAATACGATCGCGATCGCGTTGTTAGTCTTGTCGTTACCGATGCGAGGAAGAAATTACTCTTACGAGCTATCTCGGAGTGGTCCCGCGCGCCCCTCCAAGTACGAGAGTTATGCGTTAGCGTCCTATGAAAGGCTGCGCAGAGCAACCAGGACCTGTGCTTTCGGCTCTTGTCATTTGTCTTCCTCTTGAGATAGAACCAAAGTTTCAAAGACCGCCCCGAGTCGCGGCGTCCCGGGCGAGTACCGGGACCAACGTCTCCCTAAATTTTCGCGCTTGTAGAATTAATGGCGGCGTCAGTTTGTAAAATCTTCGTTAGCGTCGCGAGGGGTCGCGGAGGGCGATATACGTTCCAATAGTTGGAATCGAGTAAATCGAGCCAGTCGTACGTAACGGGCCAAGATAAATCTTAATTCTCTGCCTTCGCGCAAACGGAGAAAAATCAGCGACATCACCTCGGTTTTATTTCTGATGAACTTTCTAACGGAGAGATTAGCTTTGCAACGTAGCGAATCAAAAGTAACAATGACTTTTCACCGAATAATTAAGTGCGGCTTCGCAACGCTTCTATCCTTTGTTTGTGCGTAATAATTACCTTTAATCCTACTGTCTCTGCAAATTTTATGATTAAAAACACCTTCATCTGCGTTACTTCAGTCTTTCGAATGAAATATGAATATGAGATATGCATTCGTTGCTTGTAACGATCTGCTATTGTGCTTCAGCTTGCATTATTTAATTACACATAATCCCGAAGCGCACGCTGTTTCCAGCTCGCAGTAACCGTAGTTGAAGTATACCGCAAAGACTAATCCCACAAATTATTATGCCGACACATTGTGCGGACTGTATAACGTAAATTTTCGCGTGGACCAATTTGCACGCTATGCGTTGTAAGGCAGAGACTTAATCGCAATTCCACCGTGATGAAATAAATATCGTTAAGAAATGTTTCGTGTCGATGCCTTCGCCGATTGCTTCCGATTCAGCAGTTTCGACTGCAGCAGACACTTCGTAAATACTGCGCCGTAATTATTGAGTATCGTGAGAGCAACCTGCTGACAACCGCCAACAGTTTCATTTTTATCGAAGTGTAAGACTCGAGAGATACTGTTTACCCAGCGAAAACTACATTTCTTTAAAACTAAAGAGGTATCTTTTAATACAATATATTTTGCAGAAAAAAATATCTTATGATATAATAGATTACAATGAGAAACACCACAACAATGATTTGTTAAAATAATAATATCAAAAAAATTCTTTAACATGAATTATGTTATACATGTTGCTTTTTTTTAAACAAATTCTTTAAAATTTTCTTGTTCTTTTTTTCCCGCGATGTCGCCTGGAATCACAGCTTGCAAAGTTTATAGAATGCGCGTAAATTAAACTGCAAACGAGAAGTCCGGAGTAGATCGTTATGTTTCGTGACACGCGTTTGGCTCATTAACTCTTTCAGTACGGCAGCATAATGCTATGCTGCCAACAACTCGCTAGATTTATTGCTCTTTTTAAAAGATAGAAAAATTCACTCTATTAAAGCGAGCTATAAGCATGAATATTATTCATGAATAAATAAGTATTGTAGTAAGTATACGTAATTTTCAGTTTAGGCCCTTCCGTATTTTATAATACACCGTTTATTCTGTATTCAAGCATACACATATATGCATGTTATGATAAGAATATACGTATTAATCATAAGCATATGCAGAATGCGAAGCAGAGAAGATACCATTTTATTTCATGTCGCTACGTTAATTTTTCGCTAAGTTATAGCGTTCCGAAAATTCGACGTGGCTTTAAATTTGAAATGTCAATGAACGCAACGCACGCGTGTGTGTGCGCGTATATGTGGCGCGTGTTATTATTATGTAACTATTAAGTGCTACGATCAGATGACGACAGCTGTTTTTATCGTCACACATGTGGTGGAAGCGTATAGGAATCATTGGCCTCATTGACTAGTTCCGCCTTAGTTCGGGGATCACTCGAGAGATTACCAATCGAGTCATGGATCGATAATCTCAAATAGAATAGTCATAGCAAGTCATAGCAAGTGCAAGTGATAGCGTACAGCATACTTTATTTGTCCAGAATGATTTATCTATAATTGATTCGCGAGATATTATCAAGTAAGAATAAAATTTAAATTAATCTTTTCAACAGAGCAATCGCTATCAGCCGGCAAGTAAATCCACAAATTTTCTAATTGCGTATTTCCTAAAGTCACAGCTTATTTGAATGATATATATGTATATATTTTTTGTGCTATGAAAAAGAAATAATTAGTTTTAATGCATTTCAAATGCAATTTTTTAATATTCGAAACAACAATCTTAACTATTGAGCATTTTTTACTTATTTTAATATTATAATATAATTATTATTGGATTAATTGCACTAATAATCACTGATGTAATAATACTGAAGTAATTATTATTAGAACAAAATTATAGAAATAATAATGAGATAATTATTAATTATAGAAGCTGTCTTTGCAATCACATTGTATTTTCTTAATGACTCTGACGCAGCTAATACGTTCAATGCGTGTACTAATTTTGCATAATTTATTTATCGAACGAGATTCTCTCTATAACTGTAGTTAAAGCTTTTTGCTGTATATCGGAAGAATCGAAATATGCCAGCCATTATTAAATTGGCACGGAAATATTTAAACCTTCGCGAATTTCGAGTCTGCTAGGATCTCTCTAGTTACTATTTGCACCGAAATACGTATAGCGAGAAACAGTCGAGCGTTTTGTAAAGATAAAAAGTAAAACAATTGGCTCTTTTCACTGTTGCGACAAAAAATTAGATTGCAATTTACGCATGTAACGATATACAGAGCGATGCATTCACATTAATAATGTACTCTTCAACAAATTAAAAATTAATTTTATTTCTCCTTCAATAAAATTGACCACGTAAAAACGTTTTGGCTCGAATTTCAATACTTAAAATACGATGTTGATGAAGAGGGAACAATGAAATTTTCGTTTTACATGCTGTCACACATCGCGCTTAGCGAAATATGATAAATGAGCTGGCGTAATTAGTCATACCGAGACTGCAACATCGATTTCCCAGGAGGGGACACGTTATGCTCATCAAGGGAATCTCGATGGTGCAGGCGGCTCCAGAAGAGTACAAGTGCGAGGTATGCCGCCCTAAGATAGATGGACGCGCAAGTATGCTGTAGTTACGCGTCAAACGTTCGAGGATTTATGTGCGTGTAATAGAGTTTAGATACCCCCCTTGCTGTGCTCATCGCATGCACTTCATTCAGTGGTAATTAAGACGATAGAGCGATCAATATACTCTATAGTTAACTACGAGCTACTCAAAACTGCCAACCTGTCCAAGCATTTAAGAAAGTTCTTGTAGGAAGACAAATATTGAATTGTTTTCACTTTGAACAAATTTTATGATTTAATATCATTTTTCTTGATAATTATTTGTAGATGGCATTTATATTTATAATTTTATCGTCTTCAAAATAGAATCAATTAAATTATTTGCTAATTAAATAATTTGTTATTAAAGTTGAAGTATCAATTGAGATTTTAAATTTTGAATATATTTTAATATTCATCTAATTTAAGATCATTTTAATTAATAACTGCTTTGATACGTATAAATTAATGGCTTTACTTAATTAATAGCTGCTACGTATGAATTTCTATATATAGAAAGTCATAGAATAATTTATTGTGAATAAAATATTTAAAAAATGAATGCTTGATATTTTTTATGAAAAGAGAATATTTAAAAGTACCATCTTGCTATTTTTAATTTCTTTTTTTTATAAACATATTTTTAAACGAATAAAAAACGGATAAGAATATATGTATATCTGAAAATTTCTTTACATTAACGCCATGAGACTCTTGAATCGGGGAAATAAATTTTTTTGTAAAGAGATTTGCAGAAACGATTGACAAACTGATGCAATGTTTCGTGTAGATTTCGGTCGTTTATCAAGTTTTCGGTGCAGCTCTAACAGCGAACCCCAACTATTTTCGAAGCCCGCAGCCCAATTTACCGTTAACCCAAGGGGGCCATTACCAGCCACTCGAACTAGGAATAGTGATCAAAGTTTAATTGCACCCTTATCGTAAAGTTGTACCTGCTAACAAAGTCTACGTTACCCGCGAGAAGCGCTGATGACGAACTATTTACTTTATTGAGGCGTTAATACCTCCAATCTGTTAACCGACCCAATTATTCATACACTGAGCGAGTTTTCTGACTATATTTCAAAGTAAAAACTTCACGAATGACGAAAAGTAAAAGATTTTTTTTTATTAACATTAGAATTTTATTCTAGACGGCGAATGATAGAAATCCTCATTTATAGATTTTATAAATTCTACGGCAATGCATAAATTTTATGCATTTTGAAATTTAATTTGAATTTGAATTATAAAACTTAGATATGGATATAAATTAATATGATGAAACAATGTTGTATCACATTAATCGTTTTATTGGTCCTTTAAGTTACATACATTTAAATGAATATCAGGATAGAAGTCTTTCTCGAGGCAAAAATATTAGATGCGGCTCGGTTGCAATAAATTTTACAAACAAATTGCAAGATTATCTTGCAATAGTTTTATTATTATAGTCTTTCAACAATTTCAATTTTAGTCCAAATAGCTCAAAATCGATTAATCTTACGTCCAAATCACAGAAATTTTTCTAATTATAGATTATAGAAAGTATTTTTTTGTATTGTGTACAAATCGAGATACGACTTATTTCAAAAATAATACATTAATATTAATTATAATCTTATGTAACACTCGTATGAACACTATCTAATCTTACATTAATGAGGGATAATACGAAATCAACGCAGATAACTGTATACACAGAATTATGTTCATCTTTGTCGCTAAATAATGCGTTAGATAAAGAAGAGTGAAACCAAGATGTGTGTACCAAAAATACGGTTTGCGAGTACATAGTACTCAAAATATCGTGCACAGTGTCACAAGGAATTTAATGACTGTACATAAGTAATGTACCTCTCGCAATATGAATAAGTCTTCCAGCTAGTAATGATTGAACTAACGATTTAACATAAGAAAAAAATTGTTATGAAAAAATATATCCACACCAAATTAGATATCATACATATCATACATTGTCACACATACATACACGTCTCTTACGATTTACTCCATTCGTTCGTTTTCTGCGTTTACTTCACTCGTTTCTGTTGTCTTTGGCGATAAATGTCGTTTATAGGTGGTGGTGGCAAATCTTCCTCTTCGCTATCGTCGCCACCTAAACGCGTTCGCCTGCGTTTCGATCCGATGCTCATACCATCGTTACTTTCGTCAACGATCCAATGCACGGATTTCGCGAGGTCAAACAATTTAGTGTCGCATCCGTTATCCGCTATCGGCAATGGAGCTATAAAAGATTTTTAATCATAAAATACGTAATTGAAAAAGACTTTTACAAGTATAAAAATAAATACCGTGTTCTGGTAGCTGAATTCTACTAAAAACGTCCATTAGTAAATCAACGGCAACGAATGGGCCCCGGAAGCAACCAGGTGGTGGCAATATTGTGCACAATTGAGCTGCAGCCGGTGGTAACGGAAAGGAACCGCCTAAAATATATAAATATCGTAATAGTTTGCTAATTATATTCGATAGAAGCAAAGATTTGTCCGAATACTTACCTGGTACTGGATGTTCACCGGGTAGGGGATTTACTTTCGGTTTATATGGTATCATTTGCGACAAATCAGGTCTCGGCAAAGCGGCGATTGCTTCCTCTGGATCAGGTACGCGTGGAATGGCGCCAATAGAATTTCTAACAACGCTAGACACCTCCATATATCCGATAGACCTCAGCTCCATGGGAGTGCAAGGATACAAATCTAAGAATTTGTATCTGTCCACTAATTGAGCAGTCTCTTTGCCTTCGAACTCTTTAATCTAAATCATTTTAATGAATTAGCATTTATTTGTCGTAATATAATATATTATACATAGATATATAATTACCTTTTCTAATACTGCACTCCGTCTCTTCTCGACTTTGACGATACTAGCTAGATCGCCGATGTTAGATTCGAATTCCAGGAAACGGTTCCATATATCTCTGTAAGAAATATACGAAATAATAAATTTTTTATTCTCAACACCAGCAAAGTAGTGAAATTTTCGATATTATGTACATACACTGATTTTTCTGGCTCTAAGCTACCAGACGATAATACTCTCTCGAAAAGAACTCTTGTATTGTTATCCTCTACAACAAAAAATAGCACACATAAATGACACGGTTTGGAACAGCATTTATAGAAAAATCATAGAAGCTATTTGTATAGTAAGTTTCTTACCATTTAAATGTGACAAATAATCTATGTAGCAAAGTATATAATCAGGATTGTCCCCAAATTTCTTTAAACCTAATTCAAAAATGCGGAATGCTATGTTTTTATCTTTCGTGCAGTAATATTCCATTAATGCAGCAGCAACGTAAACATGATGTTTACAGCGAATGTCTTCTCGTGCTCGTTTGAACACCGTCCTCGCAGACTTTATGCCTTCGGCTCTTCTTGCAAATTTCATATATTGCACATACGCCTGTAAAATGAGATATTTTAGTATGTTAGTCAACAACATGATCGCATAATGCACTCGTATACCAACCAAGGTGGGATCTATGTCAGGTATATCCAGGAACTTTTGATATATTTGATGCACTTTCTCATATTTCACTCTACCCTCTTCAAAGTCCGCGTGCGCGAAGTACAACAACATATTCTTCGACAACAATGTGTTTGTCGCTCGTTCAAACATAGTAGCAGCCTCGTCGCTGAGATTCTTAGCCGCATTCACGTCACCTTTCTCCGTCAATATCTTAGAACTTAACTCTAAGAAATGCGCCGCTTGATGCCATACCGCGGGATGATGGCCCAAACACAAAAGACATTGTTCGATTGCAAACATGACTCTGCGAGCGACGAGCGATGTGTCTTCCGTTCTTAAAGGATTACTGCGTTCCCATGCGATGTATTTCTTCCATAATTCGACCTAAATAAAAATATATTATAATTTTCGTTTAATTAGTAATGAAAAAGAGAATAACATACTAGAACAGGATAAAATGAAATACCTGTCTAACTTCTTCTGGATGACCAGTCGGCGGGACACTAGGCGCACTCCTATTCAGACCTCTCGTGACCGCTTCCAATTCTTTCGCGACCCGTCTTGCATTCATGTAGTCTCTAGATCTTTCGATGGCCATTTTCTCCGCGATTATGGGATTAATGTTCTGTTCGAATAACATGTAATCCTTCCATAATTGCTCCATATTTATCATAGGATTAATAACACCTCGTTGATAAACCTGTGGTATAATTAACGATAGTTATTTGCAAACTGTTCATAAAATATAAAATTTATTAGTTGATATATGGCGGATAATTCGAAAATATTTTAACGTTACCTTTCGCACAGCACTAATTTTCTGATTTTCGGCATATGATCCGACGGCTTCCACGCTCTTCAAGAACATAACGTAATCATTCCAAATGCTGTAGGAATGTATGTCCATTCCGATTTTATCTAACGCAAAGTCATATGCTTGTGCCATTTTTTCTCTAGAAAAATATTACGATTAATTTGTCGCTGTAAAAATAAATCGTTTCTTGAAATATATAAGTAAGCATCTTTAAATTATAATCACTATTACTAAACTATTGTATTATGCTTAATAGTGATCGATAAAAAATATACGATGCTTACATTTTTGACAAATTGTTTCGAAACAAAGCACTTGCATGTACTTACTTATACGTGGTTAGACTCGCTTTGGTTTCTTTGACATAAGAAAGATACAATTTCCATAATTCAATATTTAATATTTTCATGAGGCACCTTTGGAAAAGCTGTTAGAGAAAAGAGATATTTTAGAAATGTGTGTCGTACTAATTAGAAAGAATATGTCATAAATGTCAGCTCTGTCCCAAAGGAAGATATATATGTTTATATATCCACCAAGTTACTTACCCATAAAGGCAAGTTTTAGACACATAGTTAAACAGTTATAACATAAGCCACGGGGTATATTGTACATTTATATATTGCAGGAAATAACACGCAGAATTTATTAAGAAAATTATCAATGATACAAACATTATAATAACGACAATGTTTCCGCGAACATATTGGGATAAATGATAATGCATCAATGCATCAATTGAGAATAGTTTATTGTATAAAAATGTGATTTAGTAGTAATAACGAAAGAGATGTTCTTGATACGTTTCATATATAATATATGTTGTGTCATGATAAAGAAAAGCCCCATAAAATAAAAAATTCATTTATTTTCTGCATGTGGGGCTAATTAAAAAAGAACGAACCTATGTGGGATCTGGAAATGAGTGATCCCAAGACATTATAAAAAAAATTAAGACAGCGTGAAGCAGCATAAAGTGATAATAGAGCATGCTAACATTGAAAATACAGAAATTTATAAGAAATAAATAAAAATGATATATTAAATAATATTTATTTAAAATATCACCTTATGCTACTTCTGAAAATGCACGCAATACTTGAGTTTTTATCCGTGTTAGATTTTCTCAAATATTGCTCAGAGGGAAGGTAAATTGGAAATTTTGCATACTCATTGTTGAAACCAGCGGTTTGAAATATATTCCTCAATCTATTGTGAATCAATCTGATTGAGTATCGACTTACAGTAACATGTATAGTAAAATCGACTTATAGTAACACATCCTAAGCGCAAATAAAGATGTACACTGCAGGAAGGAATATAAGGCTATTACGTTCAGAAAGTTATCTTCTTTGGATCATACTTTACAATACAGTTATTATTTTTAAATAATAAACTTACAACAAACCATATAAATAATGGCCAAAGAAAACAACCTCCCAAACATATTAAGATCGATTATCAATCAATGAAATAATTGACTTATGGTGAAATAGTCTTTTTATTCACCTCATATAATATGCAAAACGTTTGGAGTCACATTGTACGATAATATTCAAATATTGCATGTTATTAATGTTAATAATATCCTAAAGTTCTAGCCTGTTATGCTGTAGTGACAAAAAATAAAAATATCTATTGTATGTTTATTTATGATAAAAGAATTAACTTTGTAATAAAAAGACGCGTCTACTAATTAATCTGATTGATAAATTAATTAAAAACAATTAATATGATTCGTAAAGTTATTCTTTTCTATTAAGAAACTTAAATTTCAATCATTTTTATTATGAAGAAAAATAGATTTTATTATTGAGAATACAATGTGAATTCATGAAGTATTTTAATGTATTTTATATTTATGCTTAATTTATTTACCTGTGCGTGCATGAACTGAGTCTATGTGTCATTTGAACTATTTTGGGAATAGAGCTAATTTAATTAATAACACATAAATATACATAAACTTATTTGCACTAAATATATTCATAGAATTCATGTTAACATACCTTTTCCACCTTTTCAAAGTTCCGCATTTTCATCTAAAGAAAGAAACAAGAGATATATAGCTTACAATTTGTCTACAGTGTTATTTTTTGTTACAAAACACTTCACAATATAAATTGTTCAAGATTTTTCTATTATGTTATAAAACAACTTTTATAATTATATATTATTTTGCAAAATTAGTTAATATTACCTCTTGTTCTATGTAAATTTTCCAATAACGTCCAGCTGATGGGAAAACGGAAACAAGTTTCTCGAATACTGGTCTCACTTCCGTGATAGGTCTGTTTTGTGATTCTCTTATAAGAATGCTCCATGCCTCTAAATCATACGATGATTCATCGACAGTCTTCTGAGCACGTTGTAATTTTTCATTTCCCCAATCCTAAAACAAAATTTCAATATATATAATGTCTAATAACATGTAAAACGATAGGAATCTTTTGCAGAGAAGAAATATCAATTTTATTAATCTTTTCTATATAAATCCAAAATTAGAAATAAAAGATAAAACAGAAATAAATAAATAGATAAATTAGAAAGAAAATTAAGAAAAAAAAATAGATGATCAATTGTTTTCTATGTCACATAACTATCAACAAACGAAAAGTGAGGTTATGGTAGCTCTGGGTAAACCAGAAAATTGAGATACGTGAATACTTACGAACTCTGTTTTCTCTTCTGCCATTTTTTTCTCTAATCGTAGCCGGTGATATACACGTTCTACAAAATATTCGCGCACGAAACCGAACAAATTAAATTTCCCCGATTACTTACTACACAATATTGTTACGAATACAACTCAAACGAATGCAGCAGAATGCGGACGATGCAGTATAATGAGTAAAATGCCATACAATACGTTGCGATGCGGCAACGTAAAACCGTGGAACACACTGTTGCAAATGGAAGGGCGAAGCATGCGACACGCTTCTCACCGCGAGTAATGCAATGTATACGACAGCTGGCGACAGCACATCGAAACGCGGTATCTCGAAGTGCGATATCTCGAACTACGAATCATAATTAATCGATAGTTTGAATATTATAATTAAACATTCGTAGACATTTTTGCAAATTTATCCCCGTTTATATAATTATTAATGAAATAATATTAAATCCGGCAGTCTTAAAAAAGTTTACGTAATGTGAAAAATTTATCGTACATGCGAATAATAAGTATCATATCTTTTAATAACTATCATAGAGTAAGAGTAAGCCAAAGCATGAGTAATAATACACAGAATAAATGTAATTACGTATGTTTTATATTTGGATTTCTATATAATTTTCTACAATCTATATAATTTCGAATTTTTACAATTATTTTGGTTTTTTCGATATATAAATTTTTTCCCAATGTAAAAATCTTCCATGATCTTTTTAATTACATAATTTTTTTAAAACAAAAGATTTAATGTAAAAATAAACGCCCCCGGGTGGGCTCGAACCACCAACCTTTCGGTTAACAGCCGAACGCGCTAGCCAATTGCGCCACGGAGGCATTTGTTTTCTGGGTCGCAGTTGTCTCTGAGATAAGGGTATTGGAATGAATTTTTCTCTATTTTATGAAAATAAATTTATAAATAATTAATTTAAAAATTAATTAATTAATTAATTAATTTAATTTATTACGCTCCACACATATTTATATCTTATAAAATCTTTTTCTGCGAAAATTTTCATTTGATAATCATATTAAAGAAAGCCTCAGAATAGGCAGCAATCATTGCATCTCTGTAAGATGGGTTTCATGCTCTCAGGAATAACTTCTTATTTCTTTTACAAAGCTATCTAAACTATTATATTTCATTAAAGATTACTGATTTTACAAAACTTTGTTTAGCTTGAAAATTTTTATATATATAAATAATATTTATTAATATTATAGCTAAATTAACATAAATTAAAAAAATGTAAAACGTATGTATAAATCAAATAAATGTATAAATAAAAAAAATATAAATCACTACAAAATATAATTAAAAAATAAAAGCAAAAAACATCTTTATATCCACGAAATATCGTAACATCTACGAAGGATGTAATTATTAAATATTATATATCCATATGACAAAAGTGTCACCATTTTGGACAAAAGTAATAGAAAACGATATTTGCTCACTAGTAAAATACTGTTGCTATTAGGGATACTTATATTGAATAAAATAAATAGTACTTTATACAAAAAAAATTGTACTTTTTTATTTATTATTGGTTATTTGCATTTACGATCTTTTTTGTTTTGACTGTGTTTTTCAAATCCGAACATCAATGGTATCAATGATAAACGCATAAAAAATTATTTCTTAGAGCAGTGCTCGGAATTAATTGAGCATCTGAGGCGATTTTCATGATTGACGTCCATTTGTCCTTATCGCGCGCGTTGTAATAGCTAGGGCCAACGCAGTCAAGCGTTAGAAGCAACGCTATCCGATTAATGAGTAGGTTTTTAGAATCCTAATTATTTAAATTTGAGGATTATTAAAATTTAGGAAAAATTATTAAAATTTATTGTTAAAGTATAGTTTTTAAAATTTTTATATTTATTATATTGAAATATTACGATAATACGGATGACATGGAAATTTATTATCCGAGCATGTCTTAGAATATGAATTCCATCTTATAGAGATACAGATATTTGATTGCAAGATATCAAACAATTGCTTTACTTTTATTTCAGTTTAAAATTATAAAAATTAAATTACGTTAGTTATATTGATTAAATTAATTTTTTATGAGCCGAGAATAACGCTATCCGTTTCAAGCTGTCGAAACAACTACGAGACTTGAAAGTCTAGTGCCGCCTGAATGGCAGTCACGATCGAGTTAAATGTAGTGTGACGAGTTCACCGATCAGTTCCAGAGTACAGCTTTTATTCCGATGTCAGGTGGGCGTTCTTCACCTGTCAGTATTGTTATACTTTAATTCAAAATTAAATTTGAAAACGGTCCCCATATGCGGCCATTTTACGAGCAGCACAATGACTCATATTCGACCGCAGATAATCTCAATTGCTGTTTAAACATCGTACAAATTTCTACTTTACTTAGCTCGTATTAATTGGAAAAATAATGTTAATATCGTGTTAATAAAAAGTTTGCATGCGAAAATTGTCATCAAAGACAAATCCATTTTTATTCAGATTTTAATATTTTTTAACTGGAACAAAAAATGTGATATCTGAAGCAACTATTTCACATATATAAAACATCCCAAAGGAAACAAATAGATTTTTTTCCAATTTGAAGGTTGGACAGATATTCTTTGATTTTTATTACCAAATGCCTTTGCAATAAAGTTTAGAATTAAATTTATATTCAAGAAAATTCCACTTAAAATTTAAAAGAATAAGATTTTTAAAATTTGGATTATAATATGTATAAAAAAGCTATTTTTTGGATTAACTGTTTCTGCTAGATTTGTACATTATTTATTTATACGCTGATACTGCAAACATAGCAACAAATAATGGAAGACCCGAAGATTGGAAATGTTTAAATTAAGACGGTAACTGGGCGAGCGGTTAGGTGTCGATAATGAATCTCCGCGTTAATTAGCCTCCGGCCGGGCGAGGCGATAGGTAGTTCGTCGTGGCATACTGATATCTTCCTCCTTGCCAGTCCTGGGCGAAGTAAAGCCTAACTGAAACGTCACGCCACTTGTTACTCGTTAGTGTGCACGATGCCATCTTTACTGGTAGCCATGCAGCCCCGGTTACTTCGTCTCCGGTAGCTAGCATCGATATCGGCACGACCGTGTAATTAACAATGTTCCTCGGCTCTTTACCTGCTCCGACCGAGACGTGCCGCGCTTCTGGACAGATTTTGCAGCGGAGATGCGACTTATCGGCATCGATCTGAAAAGTAGAGTTAAGTCGCGATGATGAACACGAACTGTGAGGTAAAATATCACTGCTCCAATTTTCAAGAGATTCTCGGTTTAAATTTAATCTTAAAAACATTTTGTTTACAAAATTTACCAAAATTTTACTTTTGCAGTTAGAATATGATGTGAAAAAAGTGAAATTAATATTATGTCTTTGTCTTTAAGGATATACATTTAGTGTTGTGATATTTTAAAAATACATGACTTTGAAAAGAATCGCGAATTGAAGTTTGAGTTCTCTAAGCAAGACTTTTAAAAATAATCAAAATAATATATCCTTAAGTCATCTTCACTTACTTGTAGAATATTATTTCATATAAAAATAGTCAAAAAGATAATTTATAATAAGTTTAAAATGCCGTGTTCCGGAAACAAAGCAAAGTTAGAGAAGGTTAATGACGAAGTCAGGTGGAGTCCGCGTGTCCTCGCGGACAGGTTCGTGCAGATCCCATCTGAAGCGTATCTCGCGCGTCAGTAGTAAGCTCTTCCATTACGCTGGGCGGTGGTCCGTCGTTATATCTGGGACAGTCAAGTCTGTTACGGCCGCTGATCTGATAGTCTCAGGATTTATGGCGGCTCTGATGGTCCATTTAGTGCTGACACGACTGGACGCGGGGGCATGCCGAGGCGCGCTTTCGCATGTGTGCGCGCGACAATACGGAAATATCTTGTTAAAAACGGGCTGGGTAGGCCGCGCTAGATTGAACGATTTGACTGCGCGTGCATGGGTGCATCGAGCGCACGAATTCAAAAACGACACTGCGCCGCGATGAAATGTTCCCTCCAATTAAGCACGTTTCACCGACTCAAAGTAACAAGCAGTTTTAAATTCGAAACATTAAATTTCGCAAACATCTGGTTTTTTTTATATCCCAAGATAAAAATTTTGATATTAAAAACAAAATCGTTTCCATATATCGGATTACTTTAAAGTAAAGAATTTGTTGTAGAAAGTATTTGTAATATTTTGGACTTAGCGATAAATAATTTGTGCATCATATTTTTCTATTAATCGTACAATATATTGTACTTTCGACGATAAAACAAATAGGTTTATCACGGCACACTCATATGCAGGATTTGATAGGGCATATTTGTTTTGTGAGAGGCGTATCAAGAAACTAATTATCGCTGAAGGGAGCGATCGGCAAGGGGTAAACTCGCGAGTGTATCCACATTTAATGGAGGATAAGTTTAGTGCATATGTATTATACTTTTACCGGATAGAATCATCAGATAGGTAAATAAGTACCGCGATTAGCGTTTATTGCCACAATAAAACGGTACAGCATTGCGCAAATACGAGCCCTATCCTGTAAGAAAAATCGCGAGAATGCTGGAAACTGGTTATTCGCATCGTCCTATCTGAAACGTCATCCTGTGCGCAAATAATTTCATCTTAAACGTTGATTAACATATATTTAATAATATTATTTCGTATCGTTAAAACCTTTATTTTTCACTTGATTTGAAAAATTATGAGTTTATAAAAAGTTTCACGCCGTCCAAATAGTTGAGACAGTCTGTCGAACTTTAATTTCCTTTTATTTCCTACTGACCTAGATCACTGCTTCGTCAAACGTAAATGATTCAGCAGGTATTTCTTGCAGAAATATCGCGTTCGTGAATTTCGCACTGCGGCACGGCATCGATCGGCATGCTTGCAGAAATAGGCGATTGCGATCGCGGAATCAGCTCCTAAAAGGCGCGATATACCGAATTCGTATATCATATAGCGCATAATTATATTATTGCGATGCACGATGGCGATGCAGTGACATTAACAATATCTTGACGGCGAGCGTGGCCACCGCGGGCGATACTTATTAAAGCGTGGCTGGAAAAGGCGGGCATTTTTCATCGATACGTCGGACAGGGTGATAAAATCTGCGGGATATATGGCTCGCTCGCGGATAGACGCTGACGTGCGACTTCCCAAAGATTCATGCGCGATAAACGTGAGACCGGCATTAAGAGCCGCTAATTCATTAATAGCCGCGCGAATAATAATTGATATCGCGTAATTACCGGGCACGCC